TGCACAAGTAAAAAGATGCCAGTTCTCATATGAGTTACTTATATGAAACATATCGTATGCGATGATTACACCCAGCAAGCAATACTAGTGAGTATTGCATTTAAATGCACAAAAAGAGGAATACCAGAGGGTTGCATCTATCGCAGCAGATATAAAGATTTTGCTAAACCAATGCTGATCAAAGGCGGAAAATATACTGTGGGCACACATTGTGACAGGTATGGATGATATATAGCCATCCCTCCCCCTCAATTCGTCCTTCACTGTGCATTTTGAAATTCCATTTCCGTCACGCAACACTGAACACCACAAACTAGCAGACAGACACAGACAAATTCAAAAATTCCTCTGTTATGTATTTGCAAACTGTTATAGTAATGGTCTACTTGCTAACATATGACACACACTGATCAATATTGGTATTATGATACTTGAATTAAACAATGTAATTAAATAAAAACATTTAAATAACATTTTTGATGGTAAGAAATCATTTCATACCTCAACAATCAGTTACCACCAGATAAATAAATGAGCATGCATAAGCAACGAACGCATTTTGTCAGTTGGTTTTGTTACATTTCAAAATGAATGACCCTGCGCACTACTACGTAATAATCCGTTAAAAAGATAAGTGTATTATTAGTAGTAAAAGTTGTAGCAGTAGCACTCCTAACAGATAGTAAATTTAGTTTCAAACGTAAGGTCAGCCAACTTATTGCAAGCAATAACAGCGGCAGGAACTACTCCGGCAGTACTTTGCTTGTATGGCTGTGTTTTTCGAAGACAAAGCAACCTCAGCCACTCCCTTTTCCTCCCTTACCCTTTACTTTCTAATCTTTTCCGTTCGATTCCGTTCTGTACCCTTCTGTTCTCTCCTTTACGTTCCGTCATCTTGCTGATTCTCAAGATTTGCTGCATGCTGATACAATTTATCTTTCTCTCATTTCTCAGATACAAACCGACATTAAAAGCTTAATAATGCATATAAACAGTAACTCTAAATCAACACAGTTTATGATCTATTATTACTTGCCGACAACTTCTACGTTGTTTGCCCTTGCATATGATGCATTTTATAAAAATTCACACCAAATTCTTCCCAATTACGTTAAGAATACTTATTATAAAGGCACAAGCATTTAGTCTAGTTATTGATAGCTCTACTTTTCATCTAAATTGATAAGGACCGTTACCTACCACCTTTGCTTTCGTTTACTGCTATTTCATGCTATGTAAGCATGTTATAGATAAAGTAAGCTTACCAGATTCTTAAATCATGTTGTTTATATCATCTAGTACTGTCATGTTTAGCAGTAAACTATATGTATACTTTATACTATTTTGCATTTTTTAAAACAATTATTGCAACCATTTCTTTCTTCATCGCATGTCAGACAAAAAATCGGTAATTAACAGATAGTTCATTACACTGTTGGGTATAAAATTGAATGATGATGTCTAATAAACACTTTTTTAATGAGCAAATTATTATTATAATTACTACTTTCATTGTTATTAAGGAATGAAGTGTTTTGTCTACAATTATAAATATCTATCCTGAGCATAGCTAATGACATAGGCTTCTATAGAGACGTAGTTATGATGGTTACTGAAGCTGAACGCATTATATTTAGGTATATGGTAATGATTTATGTGTTAGATGTGTCTACCACAACGATGGATGTTTGCAATTTTATCGTAATAGAAATTATTTCATGTTCAGTAAATGTACCACCGAAAATACCTTTGAGCTCAAACTGTAAATTCTGACATAAGAGATTTTCAAAGCTGCACCCACCATCGTATCAAGATCACAAGATCCTACCTACATGAAATGAAGAATACTCAAATACTTACATAATACAGAATAATCATCAGTAACATCAAATAATACACCATTTTCTCAGAATAGGTATATGTAATACTGAAATTCAGCTAGACCTAAAGGAATGCAGCATAGACTTGAATCATTGTTTGGAAGACTAAATTTTACTCACACATAAGCTGTTATTACTGTATATTTAGATGAAATAATGCATATATAACTTGGAATGAAATTACAGTGCTGAAGTTTGAAGTAATTTTACAGGTGGGGCAAAGTCAGAATACATACCCAGTACAGCGCTAACTCTTAGAATAACCGCATTCACCTCAATAACAATAAAATGGAGATTCCAGATTCAATCTTGTTCAATCGAAAAAACAAAAGCAAGCAAGACGTCTGTTTAGTCACATCACCCATAGCTACCATTGTCATGCCCATAAACTCACTGAGACATATACCTCTGTTATTTATTATATTTCGAAGGATATTATAAGTGCAATAAAAATGCATAAATATCAACATCTCTTGAAAGTATTACTCCATATCAGCTGTGGAACACTCTAACAAAATCTACCCATCAGCAACTTTCCTTATTACAATTCTTATTGAAAATCAAGCATTACAGAAGGAAAATTTGATTGGCTTTCACTGCACACCTCTTCAAAAAACATATTTATACATTTGCTATGTGCACAGTAACAAAAGAGAACTACACAATGATTATATATCACGCGATAGGCAGATAGATAGATAAATAGACAAATAGACAGATAGATAGAGAGATAGATAGACAGTCAACAACTACGCGTTTCTCATTAATGACATAACACAATTGATTACAAAAAAAATTTAGTCAAATCTCACACTCAAAAACATCTAGGGATTGAAAGAAAAGCAAGGCAAATACAGTCAATGATGTAGTAAAAATGTGCAGCTTTCCATAAAAATGCAATTTGTAATCACAAAAAATAAGAAATGAATGAACTGGAATTTCAGTTAATAAATAAACTAACGGAAGCATGTTTCTTAATAACTATATATTTTCGTAATTTGGAAAATAAAAAAGTGAATTTGTTTTTTAAGAAGTAAATAAATAATATTTCTACAGTATTGTACTAATAAAATTCTTTGGCACTGCAAACGGAGCAACATGAAAATTGCGATTTAAACCACAACACAAAAATATTCCTTGACTATAGTAAACAGCAGTATTGTATCTAAATCATAATTATCGTAAATGATAATAATAGGAAATAATTACAAGAAATGGATAATCAGCATTAAAGCTGGAAACCCGTAGAAACGATCATTCCAAAACCAACATACAATAATAATATTCTAACTCATGAAACACACTCACTACTAGGCAGTTTTCTTGGAGAATAGAACTATCAAGCGCTAGAGTCAATCAAATTAAGTGCTCTCCTTAATTAAAGCATACCTTTTTTTTACGATGCTCATGCTGCGCATTTACTTCACTATTTCCTATTAACCTCAAAACATGGAAGTTAATATTTCTATCAATACAGAAACATTCAATCTTTCAAGCATCAAAGCTGAAATCAATCAAATCTTTTGAAAAGAGAAAAAACTAAACTTATTCGGTACTACAACGTGAAAAGCAAACTCATAAATCTTTCTTAAAATATGTTAATAAGTAATAGAGGATCAATTTACTTCCGATGAATAATAACTAATGGGATAAGGAATATATATAGAATAAATATATATTCACTACATAAATATAATAAAGCACCAAACGGAATGAGCAATTTGCTGAATGTAAAGCTACGGCAAGAACTAAATCAGTTTTACAAAATAAACTGTGATGCATAGAGATGGCCGGAAGTTTATTTCACACTATCGAGCCGATCTCACTGTTATCTAGACCAACGGAAACTGGAGATGGTGCAGGCAACATCATATCCAACCAATCCATACCTGTGTTCTGAAACTAGAATCTAAAAGCTTAAGAATATGCTGAAACTAATAAATGAACAAAAAGATATTAGAAATTAGAAAGTCAAAAACTTGACACTCAAAATTTGGAGTAGTAACGGAAGGACACAAGTCTAAACATGAAATGACAGGAATTTAAAATTAAAATGAACCTGATCAATAGGTTGAATACAATTATGAGCCATTAATGAATCATTGTAGTTTAAAATCTGTTTCTCCGCCGTACCCACTTTTTTAATTACAGCTTCTGACTGAAACAAAATATTATATGCAAAATACACAACACCCATTGAGCAATGATACATTATCTTTTTCGCTCTTATCAAAACAAGTAATTTATGTCTATAAATAACAAGTGTTAGATAAGTTACACTGATGTACTGCTCTGCAGTTTGCGAAGAAATTGATGCTTCGATCATAGCACAATCATTTTGAAACCAATCATCGCCTAACAGTGCAGCCAATTCGTCTGTTCCATATACTGTTGTTGAACTCACATCAAGATCATTTGATTCCACATTCTGTGCATCAGCTAGAACAAAAACACAAATGCTAACAACTCTGCTAAAATTTAGACTGTAAACCCTAATTATAAAGTACAGAGAAAAATTAACAGTCCATTTTTAACATCTATCAAAAATTGTTTGCTTGCATAAAACATTCTTTAAATAATAAATTAGCACAGTATAAGTGATCTAAATTCTCGTAAAGACTTCACAACAGAATTTTCATGAACAAAAAATCAAAGTAGCAATCACTTTGACTGCATTCCAGCTTAAAATGTAATATGAACGTTACTAACTCTGATCATCCCGCAAAACGTCCATTAAATCATCAAATGACTGATTTTTCGAGTACTGGTAAACCTGTGGAGTGCCAGCAGTTCTTTCCTCGACTACTTCGACATCTTCGAAAAATCTACAGCCAATATCAGTTCCCATTGTTTGATCTACCGCATAAACTGTTGAAATTGGTGACACTTTATCCTTAAAACAACGATCAGAAACCAATCAATAACAACAACATATCTAATGCGTTATCACAGCTGAAAAAATTACAGTCAAATCGAAAAACAATCAAACAATGTTATCAGAAATCTTATTAAGACTGAGTGAAAATCTAAGCAACTTTAAAACGTCTAAATCTTGCAGTCATTGTCAGCTTTACCACTATTTTGAAGATCAAAATTTTTAAAGTGACTATAGGAAATGATGAATAATAAGTACCAATAAATTTAATAATAATACAACATAAAAATCTTACATTGTACGGTTGAATCAGCTGATCACAACTCGGTAGGAGAGTTGTGTTATTGTTGTTGTTTTCAACCACGACAGTATTCACTTCATATTGCTGTAAAGAACTGGAAGGTGTTTCTTTATGAGTTACAAAGTCTTCAGGAAAACCAGATGACGATGACAGATTAGCCTTTGATCTTTTTCCGGAATCACTTTCTAGTAAAGCTTTAGAAGCATTTTCTAGGACCTGTTTGAAAATCTCTTCCATGTCCACGCTGGTACTCGGCTTTTCTTGTGAATCTGCATCAGATTTTGCCCTAAAAAACTCTACACAAATT